AGCAGAATTAATTGATATGTACTGACATGATGTTTCGATCCATATATTGCCATTAACCACAGATTAAATAGACAGTTTACCCCAAAATTAAAAGTACATATTGAACCGCAACTGGCCCTTTTAAGGCATTACTACTAGGTTTTTCAAACAGAGTACCGGTACTAATCCATTGATTTTATAATGTCTATGCTTTGGATCATAGTCTCATTAAAGGCTTTGAACACCACATTCACATTATTTTACACTGGCAAATTTTCTGTACAGTGTTTTAACTTATCCACTTCAGTCATAAGGCTACAGTGGTATGCCCCAGGTAATTTTTCTGCGGGGAATCAGCAATAAAACAGTTTGTGTTGTACACTACATTGTTTTAAATCAAACAACAAGCTACTTGTTAAAGAGCCAACAGTGCCACCTATTGTAAGGAAAATTGAACTTGTATCACAGAGTTATCCTCATCACATTACGACTAGATTATCAGTATGTATGTGAATGCAACTAAAGTAATCTACAACTGTATAACAGTAGCCTAATTTCCCTCCTGACATTCAATGCACCCACTTTACATTAGTCATTCTTACCTTTACAGAGAAAATATTTGCTGCATGACCTGTGTGCATGGTGGTAAGCTTCTTGTGTTTGAATGGATCCCAGATGATGGCATGTTGATCATCCGAGCCCGAGGCCAGTAAACTGAAAACAAAAAACAATCACTGGTACAAGTCAAGCAACATTTGTTGAGGCTCGTAACTACTTGTGCCTTTTATGATCTGTGAAGTGTTAAGATGAGCCATAGAGGGGTCCTCTTCACTATACACCTAAGGGTTAGGCATTAGGTCAAAAGCAATTGTAATAGACAAAATGGGAAATTGAATAGACTTACTCTCCACTTTCATTCCATTCCAGGCAGTTCACACAGCCAGTGTGACCCTGTTAAGACAGACAGCATACATTAAAAGAAGATATGATAATACTAAGGAATATTTTCACTCTCACGCGCTCTTTTAAAAACTCTTTCCCTCAACACATGCACCAACACACACACTGTCTCTGACCTGAAGCTCGGCCTCCAGCCCAAGTCTTTTGATGAAGGGGTCGGTCACATGATAGGACCTCTGGAAGGCTGGTGCTCTCTTGTCCTGAACACATGCATCTTTATCAGACTTTTGTGCATAAAATGATCGATACAAAATGTGAACAATGCTATTGGTTGAGGTAGTATTCCGGGTTGTGTCTGACAAATTGTCAGTAGATGTGGCTCCACAGGATGCTGTTTGTTAACTCACTCTGATCTGCCTGTGCAGGATGTCTCTGGTGATGTTGACAGCAGTCATGTTGTAACCACAAAACATCAATTGGGGTCCGGAGTGGAGATGTCAAAGCACTGATGACATTTACTTTGTTTTCCTCCAGAATGCACTGTAAATGCGTTGAAAATCGTGAGATAATAACACAGAAAGACACTTTTTATAAAGGAATTCCACGTTTACAAGTGTTAGAGCAAAGGTGCTCAGCAATTTGAATTAATCGCTCATTATCGGTTGTCTTATTAACAGCTAGCCATAAGTATGTCACATTACGTTAGCTGATCTGCAGACTTTGCTCACCCCAGTGCCCAACACAGTGGGCGATGCTCCCGTCATAAACACCAATAAGGCGAGTTCATGAGCTAACTAGCATAAGCTTTTCATCTCTGTTAGTGTTATAATCGGCGGGCTGTTTCGAAAAACACAATTATTTGATGTCAATACGCTATTTTCTTTGAAGAATCGTTAGCCACCTATGCAACGGGCCTTTAAGACCTGACGTTCACCAAGTAGATGCTGTTAGCTTATCCGTTACCTTTGCTAGCTAAACAAAACACTTTATGTACGATAACATTAAAAACGTTGGAATTGAGATTAACGGCTGCCAAAGAAATCTCACCGCTTTCCTTGAACTAAAAATGCTTCTGTCAAGAAATGTCCATTCAGTAAACGTGATTCATCACACTCTATGTGAGTTTGTTGACAGGATTGTCGCTAATACCTTGTGAAGACAACCCTCCTCCCACTGCACTGAGCACGCAGATCACGCAACTTTGGTCTGCGAGCTAAAACCAAAACAGAATAATGGCTTCCGGTCGGTGTGTATTTCAGAATAAAAGCATTCTAACGACGAAGTAATCTTTACATGTATGGTTAACTTGAGACAGTGTTCATGCAGTCCTGGAAGAAGAACTCAGATATTATACTTAAGTAAAAGTAGCAATACAACAGTGTTAACATAGTCAGTTACAAGCTGAAATCCTGCATTCAAAATGTTACTCAAGTAAAAGTACAAAAGTATTAGCATCAAAATACTCTTCGAGTAAAAAAAGAACTCATTAAGTAGAACTCAACTACTGATGAAGCAGTATGGCCTATTTCAGAATCACATTAAATTATTAAATTATAATTATTAATGCATAAATGTCAATATTGCAGTTGGTAACGTTTTTTTCAAATTACTTTATATAATGTTGGATAGCTTAAAGGTGGGTTAGGTAATTCACTTCAGAAACACTTTTTGTTATATTCCATGGAATGCTCTTAACATCCCCACTTATTTGGAGTCCCCACTTTTTTTAAGCATGATTTTTTTTTAATAGTCCAATAAATATAAAATCATTGCCAGTTGCAAGTGTGTATTTGTTGTAATAATGACAACAACCTAATGCATTTCACAGTAATTATAAAAAAATTAAAACGATTTCCTTCCAAAATTATGATTCGTCATCACGCTCGTGACCCCAGGGTGACACCACCAGTTCGCCACCTGCCGAGCAGCTCTTTCCCTCAAGAACGCAAACGAAAAAGCTCTATAATGGCAGACCAAAAAAAATTACTTGACTTCTTTTCTAAAAAAGAAAATCATTCATGAGAAGAAAGAGGCTAGCAGAACCGAAGCTAAATAAGTTAATTTCAGGACAACTTTGGGAATTTTGTTTGTTTGTTATGAGTTTTAAATAGATTTGAAAGTGGAGATAGATTTGAAAGTGGAGATAGAGAGAGCACTTGTGCAACTTAGGCCTATACATTGTTTATTGAGCGCAGCGCCGTATGCTTTTTGCAGTACAGTAACTAAAGTAGGACTAAGCATACCGGTAGTTTTCTGTAGACCTGTCTGCCCGTTGTATGAGTGCACTGCGCGCGTGCACAGTTGTGGCATTGTTTGGGATGACCTAATTATAATCGCGTCCACCCAGTAAAAAAATCCCCACTACACTACTGATTCTTACCTACCCTACCTTTAACCTGTACTTATAGTAAGTTTGATTTATATTTCGTATTAACAATCTAATTCTGCAAAATAACTTGTAACTAAAGTTGTCAAATAAATGTAGTGGAGTAAAAACTAAAACCTCAGAATTGTACCTAAGTACAGTACTTGAGTAAATGTAATCACCGGCAGGGTGAGCAGGATCTCCAGGTGAAGTTGTGTCCGGCTGACAGAGAGGACAGCCTGTCGCATAGAAACTAAACAGTGGAGGAATTTGTTCATATTAATAAGAGATAAAAAGAAAAAAGACCCAGTCCTGCCTACTTCGTATTTATTCAGAATGCTCACACATCGATCAATGCATTTATAACACTTGTTACATTGTATCATTTTTAGAATTAAGCGCTATTTTAACAAACAACTGCTGACATTTTACAGTATAAATAGAGCAAATCCCAGCAGTATGAGTATACATCTATTTTTTTGCAACATAACGTGAGACAGTCAGTTGTATGTACATTGCTGGTCACAGAGAATGAGAGAGAAGAAATGCATACAAAATGTAGCAAACTAACACAAAAGGTCAAAGGTCACCTCTTACATGACTTGCTTTTCAGTGGAAGCTTAAAATGTAAAAATGTGTAAGCGTTGTTGTTTCACTGATGGGGAATTATAAATAGTTTGGAAAGATGATAAGATAAACCATAAGAACAGGCAGAAATGAATGTAATAAGACTGAAGACCTAATAAACAACTGTCTTGATGAATACGATATACATTTTAACAAGATTGGTAGATTAAACTTCTGCTGAACACAAAAAAGATATCTCATGACTCTTATTTCTTCGTTACAGCTGCTTCAGCCCTTTTTTGTTGTCTTCACTAAAGCTCACAACCTAAACTCCTGCATAACAGAAAGTGTAGTGCTGAGAGATTTATCAATACAGAAGCTTTTATTGGTTTTGATTGATGAAAGTTGTTCAAACACAAATCACAAGGCCTTCCAAAATGCCTTACATCAGATCAGGCAGTGCCTTTTTGAAAGCATATGGAAATATTCCTTAGTATTTGTAGTGCATTCATTGTTATTCTCCCAAAATAAGACAGGATTCTCTAGATTTAATCCTCTGAATAAATAAAGGTCCTGAATGGCAGCATGTCAATTTGGCAGATGTTTCAAATGTTTTCATCAATTATGTTCGGCATTGGTTCCTTCTACATGATCTCAATATCAGTAGCCATATATGGCTATATGGTTTTAAGTTTATTGCAGTTGTGAGCAGAACTAAGGCTCAAACACAATTTCCACAACAGTACAATATGTTATCTAATTTAAAGAGGACAGTGTATGTGTTGATGTGACGTTGCCTATTTTAGTTTTTTGTGTAATTTTCCAATAATACACATTATTAGTTTTATGACTGATTAAACGTTTAAACTTAAAAGGTTAACATTTTGCAGCCAAAGCCTTATTTCCGAGATTATTGTAGCAAACTGAGCCTTCTTTGTTATGTATAAATTGTTCGTTTTAAATCACTGCAGTGTTTTTTGGTCATATGGCAGAATGACCCTAGTCAAGCCCTTTGTTGAAACAGCAGCTATATTTTAAGAAAAGTCTCACGTACTGTGCTACCCTGGGTTTTAAGTTGCAGTCTGCGCCAAAACGTAACCACTCCGGAAGCGTATCCCTTGCAGGCAAGCAATCTGCAAACGGTTTCTTAGCGTAACCGTTCAACGGGCGGCGCTGTGACATTAAACACGCGCGCTTTATGTGTCTGATGTCTTCCATCAGAAGAGCGGATCAGTTCAGTTGGCAACCGGAACAACAGCGGCAGCAGCAGCGGATGGTACAGATTAGGTTGCCAGCCTCAAACTGAGATTTCTAACTGCATTATTCTGTGTTCATGTGAAACAAAAGGTAAAGTAACATTTTCTCAGCTTATAGAGTTTAGCCACAGTAATGTAAGCACGGAAGCTAACACATATTCATAACTCAAGTAGCAAACCGCAACGGTGTGTTAGCTGATAGCTAACGTTAGCTTGTAAGACGGAAACGGATTTGTCCTGGATCAGCTAACGAGCATCATCGGTCCACAGCATCTTACAAAAACAAATGAACGTTATTTCCAAGAAATCTTTAAAAAGTTGTCGCTTTTAAGCATCGTCTTCGTTAGCTGTGATTGTCGCGTGTAGGTTGTTGTTTATCATAACATTTCAATAAATGCTTTTAAGCAATTAGTCTCGTTAAGAAGATAGCCTGCCTTGTGTTAGCAGTTATTTCCTTTATGAATTAGCTGGTTAAGAGGATTAGTGTGTAACAACCAGGCTTCTCTGTACCCATCAGTAAGCATTATATTGGCTTGCCACTGAAGGTACAACTTCCTGTAGCCTCCTATTAAGGATATAGATGTTTGTGTAACACATTATGTAAGGATAAGACATGTGCTCATGTTGTTATTCCTGTTGCTACCCAGAGGAGTCTTTTGAGGTTGTTGAGGGGCACATGAGTTTGATAGGTGAGCAAATCAGTCAACAGCTAACAGCTGCTGTGTCCTAGACTTTGGACCATCACTTCACAATACAGTGAGCACGAAAGGAGCCTTTGCCCAGATTGTATCCCAGCCTCTGGTTCATCACAACGCCAAAGCTACCAACCCAGTCTTTGCTTTTCCAGTTAATTAAATCTTAACAATAGCTTGTTAGATATTTTTCTTATGACTGAGAAGTAAACTTATCTAACCTACATTAAGATATTTCAAGAATGTGGCCAGTGATTTAAATTAGGTTGGCTACCACTCTTAAAATATCTTATAATAAATATATATATATATTTATTTTTTTTTCTCTTGATCTCAACCAGGTGACATTTTCTCGTATGGAATGACAACCTCACACATATATATTGATTCCAAACCAGCTGGTAAGTTGACACTTTGCAGTCAAAATGCGTACTGTGTTTCAGTTCAGCATTTGTTGATGTACTTCTCTATTGCCATTGTCCTGTTTCACATTAGCTCGGTTTGCTGACATGGAGTGGCAGACACCAGCTGTGTCAGAGAAGTTCCAAAGTCGATTTGGCCGCCGGCCTGGGACAGCGGACAGTGGGGACACGGGTCTTGGCACCTCGGCGTCTGACAGTACAGAAGGTGATCGCCTTTGCTTGTTCTTCCCCTTCCTGCAGTGTGCATTGTGTAACATTGTTTTCAATTCTGCCTGTTGTTGATGGAGTTTTTACAGACAGAAATGAGTGTTTCTTGTCAGCTGCAAACATGCAAATTACATCATATGTGTTCAAATGATTGTTTATCCTTACATGAAAAGTTTAGAAAAATCAGATTATGTAGAATGTCAGAAACCACGCATGGTTGTTGCTGAAAATACTTTGTATTTACATTTGTGTTGGTGTTTCTAATGCTGTTTAAAGAGTGAAAAAGATTTTCATGATCCAACGTTGGTACTCAGGAGATTTGCAGTGATAGATTAACGTCCCAGCCAAAAATGCCCAAGGCTCCGCTGCAACACTCTGGTGTTATGGTTAATTGGGAGGGTGGGGGTGTTACAAGGCCAGGACAGGACAGCTCAATGGAAATTGGACCTTGTCTGTCGAGTGAAATGTCACACTAGTCAACACATTTTTTACATTAGGATGGTTACAGAGGGAATATCCCAATGGAGAAAATGTAACATCTCACTAGAGATGGTGCGTGTGCTATATTAATACGTATGTGCTACACAGTGGAAAAAACCACAGACACATGGTATCAGAGAGCTTCCAGGTAGTGGCTGGTCAACTTGGGTGGATGGTCCCTTGTGCAGCTGAAGCCCTACAAAATGACAGCCTGAAAAAACATGAGAAGTGCATCAACACCGTAGTGTTTGACTCCACGGAGCTGGTATTTATGTACGGGCTGCCAGTTGGAAGCTATTCATAACATACAGGTCAACATTTTCCTTACGTCAAGTTACACCTATTTATGTTGACATCCCTGACGTACTCCTAAGGATAAGTTTAAAACAGCAAATGCAGAAACATTTATTTGTATTACAGTTCTTCCTTGCTCACTGTGTTGAGTTAAAAGATATCTGCACATCTCTCGTCCCCAGATCTAAACAAGCACTAAACCTGAAAGGGAAGGTGCAGATAATGCCTAGTAATGCTAGTTGGCACATATCTTTAACATCTTCCAAATATCTGAACAATATGCCTAATCTTGAGGTGTCCAGTGTTATCTAACAAGCACGGAGCACACAGTTCATTCAGCTCGTAAGACTACATTCCTTGGAGGATTGAAGCTGCATTCAGGCAAATTGTGTCCCATCTATCTTTGTAGATTATTATTAATAATCAATTCTTAGGGGTGCATGTTTTTTTTGTTTTTTTAACAAGGTGCATATACAAAAGTTAACAATAGAACTCTCTTGCGTGCACGCAATTTATTTGTTTATTTCATAATTGCACATTTTCACCCCAGCAACTAACCTATTTATTTGGTTTTGATTGGCTTCTACGTTCTTTTTTACATGATTTGTTTCCAACCATGTACACATGTGTGTTCTTGGATACATTTCCTTTATAGCTGTTGTCTTCAAATACACTTTTATTTTTTAGAAGACTGTAACTATAGACTCAGCTTGCTTAGTTACAACTGTTGGGCCTTCTACTAATGCTTGACAGCTTTATCCTGGCACTTAAACCGACAGCCATGCCTAGCAACCTGACAATTAGTCCCAAATGTAGCCACATAATGAACTGTTATAGATAAAACTGGATAGCATGCTTAGGGTGTGAACTGAACAGCTAAGAATACATTTAAAAAAAAAAAAAATGTATTAAACAAATATTTAAGTAATTTGTGTTGCTGGGTGTCTGAAATTGCAGCAGGTAAATGTGTTTAATTATGTTATTGACTTTCCAATAGCAGGAATTTCTGTTCTGCAAAATGTTCTTCTGAGTAGTTTAGACTTGTTCTAGCCAGTCATGAAACAGTGGAGCCTGGAGGCTTTTTCTTATGTTAAGTTTTACCTTCCTTAAAGCTTTATGTTGTAATCTTTTTTGCTAATTATGATTTTCATATGTAATGGGGAAAACATTTCTAAGTTGTGGTTTGAACTGGGCAGGAACAAAATATCCTGTTCAGTCTTTGACTTTGGATGTACGTGTGCGCAGTGGGAGGGGGCAAGGTGCATAAATAAGCGGCACCCATAGATCACCGTGTAACATGAGAGGTGGGCTATAAATACCCCTAACCTTTCTGCGTGTGTCTGTTTGTGTGTGTTTGCTCAGAGCTCTGGTACAGGCTGGTTTAGCTGTTGGAGGACAATACTCTTTTGGGCACTGTGCCTGTCTGCTGCTCCGCTGTCATTATTGGCTTCATAGATTGATCTGCTACTGTACAGAAATGCAGAGGACGACATTTTGTTTTGATTTAAAGCGATCTGCAGCTGAGCTCACCTCAGTTCAGCTGTAGAAAACATGCCACAGCTAATAACACGCTTGTTGCCTTCGAGTGACTGCCAGGTCTCCATACTTCAACAGCTCTCTCAGGTTTGTAATGCGGTTGAAATCTTGAGTTATGTAACTTTGAGTTGTGTTGGGGCCTGTGAGGATGTCTGTAGGTTGGTTGTAATGATCTGAGCTGTGTTACTGAAGTTCCTTTTTAAGCACAAGTTTGATCTATGAGGTTTCCAAATGGAGTTAACAGTTTTAACTGAGTGGATTGTGTGTGTACTCTGACGTGTGATAGTGCTGCTCTGTATGTTGTAAGGGAATAATTTCAAGAGTTTATGCTACTTCAGAATGTAGGCTCTTTAGTCAGCATACCTTTTTGTAGCTGTGGATTAAGATTGTTTACTTGTATACTTGATGGCATGGCAACTTCTACAACACAAGCTTTATCAATGCTGTACACAACATGTGTTTTAGAAAAAGTAAACGGCGCTTTCATTCTGGCCATGGTTTAAGTCTATTATGAGCTTATTCCCTGGGTCAGTCAAAGCCAGTTAATTCTTTCAGTGATGACACCTCATCATCAAAGTAGGCCACCCATAAACCCTGCTGCATCTACTTTACATCTCTGACTGGAAATAGAGGAAAAGGCCGGCAGAACTGCTCTAGATATTCGGATAGTCTGTCAGTCTATTGAATGGTGAACACTTCATGTCACTAACAATCACTCTTTCTTCTTTTAAAGATTTCTGCAGTTCCAGCAGCAGCCCCTCATTTCAGCCCATCCGCAGTCAGATCCCCATTCCCACTGCACATGTCATGCCCTCCACGGCCGGAGCCCCGGCCTCTAAGCCCAAGCCGTTTGTCCAGGAGGGGTCCCTGTCCTCCGTTGAGGGCCACAGGTCTTCCTCTGGCTCCAGAACCACGAGTGGCTCCACATCAAAGTCTTCCTCCTCTCTCTCCAAATCTGCATCTTCGCCCAACCTGGACGCTCATACCGGGTTGGGGGGCGATCACGTGGGGCCAGACTGCCTGAGCCGCTACCGCAGCCTCGTCAATGGGCTGGACCACTCACTTTTCCCCTCAGATCGCACACGTATGGATGAGGGCCAGAGGTTTGACACTCCTGCCGTGGAACCTACGCTAAATCAGTCTGCCTTGTTGGGGGGGTTGTGCCCTGATGTCAGACTCCGATTACAGGGGGCCGGGATTAGAGACACCCCAGACTGTGTGTCTGACGCCTACAGAGGCAGCATGGAGCACAGCTATAAGGTTCTGCCTGAAGCTCGGTCTGGGGGTCCCAGCACAGCAGAAGCCTCCAATCAGAGGGCAAGTTTGCCCGGTGCTGCAGGACCCTCTGGAGTTTATGCCCCCCCTCTGAGCCTGCAGACACAGGCTCTGCTGAGGGAGCACGCCGGCGCCAAGGGTTACGAGACACTGCGGCAGGACAGATGTGGGGAACTGTCCAGCTGGCAGCAACAACAGCAACAGAAGCAGCAGCTGGAGAGTTTACGCCTGCAGGTGGAACAAATGCAGGTAAGCATTTATCCTAGATGGAACACTGTACTGAACTAAAGGTTTTTGGTCTATTTTCTAAAACTGTCACTGCTCTGTTTGGATTATAGGCTATAGAGGTTAGATGTCCCTCGGCTGGGTAGCAAAACAAACTCTCTGAGGAAACACCTTGATAATGTTAATGATAACATTTGGGAAAGTCAGTCGTTTGTGGACATTGAAATCTGGCCAGGACTGTAGTTCCACACATTTATAGGTCATCATTGGAAAAACTAAAACAAGGCCTGAAGCCATACAGACAACTTGTCCTAGTTTATAATAGAATTTGTCAAATCAATAAGCTAAATGTAAATCACAAGAGCCCTATCAAAATCACAAGAACTTCAAAATGATTTTCTAGGGTTTGTTGTAGGATTATTTGAAACATGTACTATCACAACTCAGAAAATCAAAGGCTTGATCAACTCTAAAAAGCTTGTGTCACAGCTTCCCTTCTGCAGGCTTTAAAAAAACAACTCTTTAGCGTCCCAGCTCTTTTTTAAAGATCGTTTCCGCACCATGGCAGATGCTGACTGAGTGCCACTCTGGAGTGACTTCCTCATAATGTGTGCTGACAAATCACCGACACCTAAACACTTTAACACCATTTAAAAAGTTATTTGAAATACTGGGATATGGCAGAATATTCAAAGCCAAATTCCTATTGGACTCATAGGGGCGTTGACTTTAAGAAAACATTGTTGAACTTCTTGCAAGTTTAAGTCATGATGATAATCCATTGCCTCAGAAAGTAAATGCTTGGCTGTTAAAGTTTTTGAAAGGCATTCATTTATTGTAATCTTCAACAATATTTAGTTGTCCGAAAGAGAGACATGAAATAGTTTCTTAGTTGGAATTTAATTCAACAATCTGTACGGCTGATGTGTCATTTATTTTTTGTGATGGCTGCTTAATATCAACCATGTTGTCATTGCCAGAGTCTGTCACTGATTTCCTAAATGACTTCTGTGGTAAAAAATGATGTTGTCAGGCTTAGCAATGCTAGCTATAATTCCTGAGCTGTTTTCATTATGTTTTGTGCAAGAGTCGTGTGTCTACACCTGTATTGTGTACACTACATGCTATCTACACTGTGTTCAGATAAAGTGCAAGCAATACAAAGTAAAAAAAGAATGTCATGGTTCAAATTGCGCATTTGTATGTCTTCACATATTTTCTCCACATGCTGCAGCTCTAATATGCTGTTTGTCTTTTTGTTACAGCTAATGAGTACTGGGGTGGGTCAGTACCCGTCTCTGTACTCCACGCCCGTTCACTCGGAGGCCGGCAAGTGGGACGCTCTGGTGAAAGCCAGTGAGTCTCTGCTGAAGGAGAAGGAGATGATTATTGAGAGGCAAGTGTTTTGATTTGACTGCCTAGGTGTAGGTGTCTGTAGAGGGCTAGGGGGTTGTTGTATCACTTTTTGATAATGATGAAATTCTTAAATGATTTGTGATCAGTTGATACTGCTTTTTTGGACAAAGTCAGTATGTAATATAGTGTGAGAAAAATTGTTAAACATATGTATGTCTGTCCTCTCACCCCAGCTCTATGCATAGCTTTTTACAGTTTTCCACCATGTTACTAAATGTATTCTTTGCCTACCATGACAATCTTTTGCCCTGATGCAGACAAAAGCAGCACATGACACAGTTGGAGCAGCGTCTGAGGGAAAGCGAGCTGCAAGTCCACGGAGCCCTCCTGGGTCGAGGGTCTTCCTATGGGGATATGTGCATGCTGAGGCTGCAGGTCAGTGAAAACCTGCAGAAGCTCCCACATCCAAACCCTGTGTCACACCGTCATTATCCTTACAAACCATTTACCCTTAAGAACTGTGTTTAAACTGAAGTATCACATGTTTACAGGAGGCTCAGAGGGAGAATGCCTTCCTCAGGGCGCAGTTCACTGAGCGCTCTGACTGCGTTGTGATGGAGAAAGCGGAGGCAGAGCGCAGACTCGGGGCAGTGGAGGCGGAGACACGGCGACTAACCGACAGCCTGAAGGAGACCTGTGAGAAACACGCAGAGGAGATGAAGAAACAGGAAGAGAGGGTGAGTGCTTACCTCACACTTCCGAACCGAGAGTGTTGAAATGAAACAAAACACAAAGTTGCAAAATGAAATGGCCCTGAGAAGGATGTCCTCGTTTACAAACTCTTGAGTGGATTTGAATGGTTAAAAACTGAATTTAAAATATGTATTTTGTTAATGAGGAGAAGGTTTTATAATCCTGTCCAATTTCCTGCCAGGCAGCGGATATTATGAAGCATTTGACAGGAAACTCTTAATTTCCCACAGCTGAGATGCTATAGATAGAATAGCTGGTACGCTCGGTACAAAAATAGATGAAAAGAGGCTGCTTATAACTGTCTAACAAGTTTTCTTTCATGGAGAATATGAAAGTGACTTCCCCGAGGCCAACGTCTGACTGTCTGTAGTCTGTCACAAGTTATGAATGGGGGTTTTTCTTGTTAGTTTGGCAGCGTATTTTCCCACTTACCACAAATGCCTACTTGTGCAGATCCGCAGTCGAGACAAACACATCAACAACCTGAAGAAGAAGTGTCAGAAGGAGTCTGAGCTGAAGAGGGAGAACCAGCAGCGCATCGAGACTCTGGAGCGCTATCTGGCCGACCTGCCCACCTTAGAGGACTACCAGAGCCAGAACAAGCAGGTGAGGGTGCTTCTGCTCCAGTTTCACCATTCTTACTGGATCAAATGTACCCTTCAATCATTAAATCCTAACGTGTGTGTGTTGTTTTTTATATCAGCTCGTCGAGGCTGAACAGCATGCGGCTCAGCTACAAGAGACGGTTCGAGATTTGGAGCTCTGTCTAGACACAACGCGCTCACAGCTACGAGAAAAAGACGCACATCTGGACGAACAGAAACGCAGGGAGAGAGACCTGCTGACCACCATTACTGAGTATGAACACACACAGTGTTATAACAAATAACTTTTTAGTGAGCATTGTAATAAAAACCGTTAGGACTCTGAATAATGTGTATTCTGTGTTTTTGTTGTATCAGTATGCAGCAGCGGGTGCAGCAGGGCCTGGAGGATGGAGCCAGACTGCCTTCAGTGGATATGGAGAAGCTCAGAGGAGAGAACAATGTTTTGAGAGAGGAGCAGCAGAGACTCAAAAAGGTCAATTGTTAGAAATGTGCTCGAAAAGGGGAATGCTTCCAGTCGTAAACACACACACACGCTATTTCCTAAGCTAAGGTCACAGCCCCCCAGTCACACAGCACAGGGAGCGGGTGAATTAACTTGATACTCTCTCTGCAGGTCATTGAGAAGCAGCACCGCATGATGGAACAGCTCGGCTCCCAGATCCAGGTCTGTTTCCCTTCAAAATGAGTCTCAATGATTATTGTGGTCTCTTACAGCGTTTGTGAGTTACTAACGGTTTGTGTTTGCAGGCGTTGGAGGAGCAGATCTGTCAGGAAGACAGCAGCTCTCAGGCTCTCCGAGAAGACGTGTTGTCCAAGGAGCAGAACGTGTTGGAGCTCCACACAGCCATGAAGGAGGTGAGACCATAATGGAATAATAAAAAAATGACTAAGTATGGCATGCAGAGAATCTGTGAGTCCTAAATGACCTTGTTCACAATTGCCTGACTCTTTTTGTCGCTGTGTTCCAGCTATCGGCCCAGAACCAGGAGCTGATGGAGCAGAACCTGACACTGCAGGAGCAGATGGGGGATCCAGAGCAGAGGAGCAGCAGCCAGGCGTCCCCCCCACTGCAGCCCGCCGGGGCCCGCCTCACTCACAGGCTGCATGCAGAGATGAACTCGTGCCTCAGTGACCTGCGCTCCCTGTGCAGCATCCTGACCCAGAGAGCCCAGGGACAGGACCCCAACATCTCCCTGCTGCTGGGCCTCACATGTAAGCACTGCAGAGATCTTTACTCTCAATTATTTCAGGAAATCAGTGTTGTGAGATTTTAAATATGGCACATAGTTACGCGAATTGGGATAGAAATCGCAATAAGAGCTCGTGCAATATTCAAGTGGCAGGAAGCACAATATTTGTTTCAGGAAAAAGTATGTGTAATAAAGGATCGTGGTGCCGTAGTGATGTCGCCGACTACAAATAATATTCTACTGCCTTAAAGGTAATCTATTATGCAAAATCCACTTTTCATGTATTTTATACAAAATTATGTTTCAGGAAAAAAGATTCTCTCTTTTTGTCCTAATCCATTTATATAAAAACCTTTCTGAAAATGAGCTGATCAGATTTTGGCCACTTTGTGATGTCACAGTAGGCGCGTTCACACCGCAGTACTTTTCCCACTTTAGTTCCGAAATGTCGCGTTCGAACAAAACAAAATCCGGAACTAAAAGAAAAAGGTTCCTATTTCTGATTGGCTGGGTGGATTGCAAACCACGCCCCGTAAAACTCCAAAAAGCTGCCATTTTGTTATCCTCGCATTAGCATTATTAGCATTAGCCCAGCGCACAAATGCAGAGAGACTACCTTATGGCAACACAAAAGAAAACATGGGAGCGGTGGAGATGAGGAGGTGTTGGCGTTCTGGCGATTTACTCGGAAGCCAGTCCCCAACTCCGGGGACTTTGGGTGGCAGTATACGACGTGGAGTTGTTAGCGGCCTGCCAGTAAACCCAAAGCAGCAGCAGAAGAAGAAGAAGTGATGTCAGCGGCTTCATTTGCCTAATCCTCCCCCAGGGACTTATTCCGTTGTGAACGCGATCCGTACTTAGTTCATGAGAACTAAAGAGTTCTCATGAACTAAGTTCTGATGAACCTTTGTGGGAAAAGTACTGCGGTGTGAAAGCGCCTAGTGTCTTGTGTAACCATTAACCACATTTTGAGTTGTATACACTGCTGGAAAGAGGAGATTCCTAGATTTCTAATGATATCAGGATTGTTTTTGTACAAATATTAAGCAAAATATGTCACATTATATAATGACTGTCACCGAGTCATCATTTTGAGAAAAAGGCCTTTAAAGTTTCCTCTTCTCTGGAATCCATCGATCTGATTGATTATTAGCGGAGCAAATGATCAAAGTAGTACGGAGGGAAGACATTTTCGTTTGGATTACTGGTCTAGGGGAAGCGTGTGTGTGTGTGTGTGTGTGTGTGTGTGTGTGTGTGTGTGTGTGTGTGTGTGTGTGTGTGTGTGTGTGTGTGTGTGTGTGTGTGTGTGTGTGTGTGTGTGTGTGTGTGTGTGTGTGTGTGTGTGTGTGTGTGTGTGTGTGTGTGTGTATTTTTGCGTTGTGTGTATTGTTTCCCGGGGAAAACACTCACGAGAAACACCGGCTGTTGTTATGCCTGCTGTGACGTTAAGTTACTCCGTTCTCCGCTTGTAATTATGCCGTTACANGGTCCGGGGGAAGCTCGCGAGTGTGTGTGTGTATACGTGTGTGTGTGTTTGTGTCTTTTTGCGTTTGTGTGTATTGTTTCCCGGGGAAAACCCTCATGAGAAACACCGGCTGTTGTTATGCCTGCTGTGACGTTAAGTTACTCCGTTCTCCGCTTGTAATTATGCCGTTACAAGCTTCAAAGTTGTATTTATCATCTGAATTTGCCGAAACAAGTTTAATATTCTGAAAGCCAAGACTTTATTTATTTGAAATCAGATGAAAACAAACTGTCACGGACCCTGCCGTGTTATCCTATGATTACTATACGCCTTACAGTCATAATTTCAGCCGGAGGGAGGGGGGCGGCGCTACGGAAGAGCAGAGTGGTGAGGGAGAGCTGTCAACTTCCCTTTACAAGCTTCAAAAATGTATTTATTGTGTGATTTGGGAAATGAAAGTTTCATATTCTGAAAGCCAAGCCTTT